ATGTGATGAGCAAAGGCACTGTCCTAGACTCACTCACACACACACACACACTTTTAATACTGGACTGAGCTGCGGTTAAACCGCAACAGCTGTTTAGTCAAACACAAACACAGCTGCTAGCATTTAAAACAAGCAATGAGAACTGTGTGGAAATAAATGGTCATCAGGACATTTGGGTCTAGTTTTCATCATAATTCACTGACAAACGAGAGAGTCTTTTTTTTTTCTTTTTTTTTTGCGAGAAGTGTCATCAGCAGCCAGTGTGCTACTCACTCACTCTGAGAAAGCAGAGAAAATGGCCAATGATGCAAACTGAAGGCTATGGAAAAGGTGGGTTTAGGAAGCTGGATTAATAATGTGCATCAAGGCAACAAAGTGCATTTAAATGAAAGCAGGACACACACACATCAAGAGAGTAAAAAGATGGTTAAGGCGCCAAAGTAAGCAGCACATGGCCCCGCTGTGAGCAGTCCGCTGAGAGATGTTGGGATGCTGGATTTCATCCTGCAGGGTATTCATACAAATGGATGTATCTATGTGAGTGTGAGGAAGAGAAAAGAAAAGAAAAGGTGGTGGATGAATGCAGATGTCTCCTCTATAACCTACACAGCGCATAAAGACTCCATATTCCCAATCTAAAACACATTAACACACAGATAGAGCAGATTGCAGTGCCCTGTATTCCCTCATCCACATCACTCTGCAGACCTCTCATTACAGCTAATTACGGACTTTTCACAACTCATTCTTAACCCTGGGTAAACAATCTTGCTCCTTGTTCCATGTATTATAATGTTCACACTAGGGCTGTGTATCACCAGCAAAGTCACGATACGATGCGTATCACGATACAGAGGCCACGATACGATACGTAGCACGGTACGGGACTGCATTGAATTTCACCTCAGAAGAGTTTAGTAAAACAGCTGTTTATTAAACACTGCATACTATAGTGCCATTTCTAACTACTGGCAGAGCAGGCAGTTGACCTCTGCATTATGAAGGGCCTCCATAACTGAACCACAGTACAAAATAGGTTATGGCATATGTTTCATGTTTACATTGGGCACTCCCCACCAGGTACAATATTCTGATTGTTTGCATCTTGTTTTTAAGCCCATAAATAATAATGTACTCGTTCTAATAAATTTATATTGTAATGTACTCATTCTAATATATAAAAATTTTTTTGTCATGTACATATATTGCACGTTAAGTCGATATATTGATTATTGCGACAGGCCTACACACACGGTCAGTCAGCTCAGCCGCACTCAGACATTCAAGAACAAACTTTTTAGCGCTGCCCCGCAATTTTATTAACTAAATAGCTTAATCGCTCAAGAGCTAGAGAGAGAGAGAGAGTTAGTTGGTTAGTTGTTATTCTTGGCTGGATAACTCTAGCAGGTATAGATAACTAAATATGTACACAGTTTGGATTAAATAAAAGTATAGTCAAATTTTTTTTTAGTTAGTTGTAATTCTTGGCTGAATATCTCTAGCAGGTTTTAAAAGCCCTTTAAAATTAAATATGAACACAGTTTGGATTAAATAAAAGTACAGTCAAATTTTATCTCTTGTATAGACTTTACTGTACAATGTTAGATCTAGTAACATCTTACAGTGAGTGAACAATATATTTTTACAACATTAATGTTTTTGAATGTTATTTAACAAATACTTGATCATTCATGTTTGTTCATTGTGCATTAAATAATTTTAACAGATTGAACTGATTTTATGTATTAGTAAATTTTGAAATGAACCCTAAGAAGAATAATTGCTATATAACTATTGTTCATTGATAGGTCATGTTATCCAACAAATGGAATCTTATTGTAAAGTGTTTTTAATACTACAGTGTCCATCTATTTGATATACACTTGACTTAAAATATATGTAATCTTATCAAAATTTATTATAAAAGCTGAGGTTTGTTATTTACTGAAAAGTTATATTATAGCTGGTGTCAATGATCTAATGTTGCATTTGGTCAGACTCAGTCCATTGCTTTACTTAAGTATATTATATTTTCCTTTTACAGCTGCAGGCTGAAGAAGATCATGAAACACACCAGCAAACCCTAAAACAGACAACAGTTTACATATGTTTTTCAGCAGCAGCAGAAATATGACAAAAACTTTTGGGTGAAACTTGTTCACTTTTTTTTCATACTTTTATTACTTGCGGAAAAACTTGAAACAATTTTAAATAAGTATAAAGAATGGCATTGATTTATTTTTGTTTGTGTTTTTTTAATTAGTATGTTTTTGTGTTTTGCTTTGGTACCGAAATTGGTACAGAGAACTGTGGATTTTCATTGGTATTGGTACCGAATACTGAAATTTTGGGACCGTGACAACACTAGCTGTAGCGCCTCAGTACAACAGACGCGGCAGCGCGAGGCGCACGTGACCTGATCATCTCCTCCACATTAATTCCAGTTTCAGCACAAAATAAACATGACTAAACATCCGAAGGCAAGTTAAAAGAAAGACTACAACTCTACAATCCGTATCCTGTCTCATGTAATCTCTCAATTAGTGTTTCAGTCGCGCAAAGACGTCAATATAACAGCTTGTAAACAATTCATGTAACATCACATTTACCTCAGAAAGCATATTTGGTGACCATAAACTCGATAGTCAGCCAGAAAAATAAACTCGAGAGTAGCATTTTGCTAAATATATGCACCATATACCATTATTATAATTTTTACCATTATTTAATGCTTTATTTGTGTTTGAATAAATCCTTCCAAGTTTTTATGACAGCCACTATTTAAATGTGTATATTTAAAAAAAAACTAAGTTAAAAATTGTAACTTAATTACTATAAAAACTTTATTAAGTGCAATTTAAGCATTTGTACAGTACAAATCAAAAATCCGTTTTTTATGACAGCCACTATTTAAATGTGTATATTTAAAAAAAAAACTAAGTTAAAAATTGTAACTTAATTATTATAAAAACTTTATTAAGTGCAATTTAAGCATTTGTACAGTACAAATCAGTCAATTTTAACCTTCAATATTATAATGTAGTACCAACTGACTCTCATGTATATTTTACAGCATTAGTTGAGAGATTTTTTTTCCTTGAGAAAATTTGGCATGTACTGTACCTGATATGTATCCAAAATAATCGATATTGAATCAGATCGGTAATCGAATCGAAAGCTTGTGAATGAGAATCGAATCGAATCGTGAAATTTGTGTCAAAATCCAGCCCTAACTACTAGTCAAGGCACTTTTACTTATAGCACTTTATACAATACAGATTGTTTCAAAAAAGTAATAAACAGGAAAATAACAATTAACTATGCAAATTTAATCAAACGAGACAAATTGGTTAGTGGCTGTTAACAAGTGCCTACATGTGACTACAGAGTGAGAGGCTACTCACTAGTCTACTTTTACGGCTTCAACGTGTTTATACTCACACTCTCACAAAATATTCTAACAGTTTTTAACTGAAAGAGTTGTGCGATTGTGGTATTGTTCGTTTTTAGCCTATGTTTAGATTTTTACTTGGCTGGCGATTGTATTTAGACTTCAAAATTCATAAATGTTATGTTCATTTGTGAAGATTATGATGAACGAAGCGTGTAAGGATAATACATTTTTGTTGGTCGCAGAGCTTATTTCCTGCAACAATCCAAAAGCCAATGGAAAATCCTATAGTTTTTTTTAATCGAAGGAACCAGGGTGGTGCTAACTTCCAGGTTGGCCTACAAAAATACGTCATCACTGCAGCACTTTATGGTGTACACCAGGGGTGTCCAATCCTGCTCCTGGAGGGCCAACAGGTCAACAAAGTTTAGTTCCAACTTCCAACCAACTTCAACACACAAGCCTGGAAGTTTCTAGTGAGTCTGAAGACCTTGATTAGCTGATTCAAGTGACTTTAATTAGGGCAATGCTAATACTAGCTAAAGAACTACTGAATGCCCGTTTAACTCTCAACAAGTAATCACAGTAGTGTTTTTGATCAGGAACTGAGGAAGGGAGACTGTGCAGGGTGGATAGCATCTTGGATGACAACAGAGCAGTTTTTGATAACACAGGTTAAAATTGGTTGGTTTCTTTCAAAACTACATGAGTTAAAAGTGACTTAACCTGGGATTTACAGAAGACATTAGCCAGAGTTTAGCTGCACGGTGAAAAGCTCTACTGCAACAATCATCTCAGTTTACACTCAAAGACACCAATTACTCCTGGGACATAACCATCACTTTCAATCACACACACTTATGTGGGGAGAAAAAGTACTAAACAAAAGAAAACATTTATTTCCAGGTTTATGGGCTCATTAGAGACAAGCAGCAATTTGAAAGTGAAAATAATGGCATTTACTGCAAGCTGTGCTGACTCATCATCTGCAGCCCACAGGCTGTTGAGCTTTATGTAAGAGGTCTTAAAGTGTCACCGCCAACTAAAACACATTAAACTTGATCAATATTAAAAGTCAAGTAGATTTTAATATTATTCGTGTCCGTAAAATGAATAATGCAAGAAATCCCAAACCCTGAGTATGAGAATTGGAGCCGTAATGCCTGCCTTAGCAAACAACTCTAACTCCAACTCCAACAGACATCTGCTTCATTTGGGAACAGATCTCACACAGTAAGACAAATTTTGTGGTACATCTGGAAGAATGAAAATCAAACTCTGCATTACATCAGTGGAAATCTGTAATAGCATTTAAAACGAATCAGCCAGTGGCTATAACTCTCTCAGAATTATTCTCATCCAAGATTGCAACCCATTTTCAAAAAAATGATAATTATACCTGTGAAGAGCCTGGTTTGATTAAATATGCAACAGATTAAATGGCCAAAAACTGTTCAATTTAAAAACAAACAAAACAAAACAATTTCCGTTCATCTACAACCAAAGCACTACAGAGAGAGAATACATCTACAGGAGTAGCAAACACTAGAAGGTAGAGTGTGCTTGCAAGTTTAAAGCATGTAAACACACACACACACACTCCTCTCACCTCTCTGATTTTGTCCCTCTTTTCCTTGGTGTCAGGGTCCCCTGGGTCACCATTATTGACCCCTACCAGTTTGGGCATAGGTACTGGAGGCAGTGGTTTGGGTCCATCTTTCTTCTTCAGGTCCTCGGCTACCTTGGTCTTCTCTGTCTGGATCTCTGCCTTCAGCTCCTCTTTGGATTTGCGGAGCTTTTCCTTGGCTTCCTGCAGTGCCCGCTCATGATCTGCCCGGATCTTGTCACGAAGGCTCTCCTCTTCTTCCCTGCAAGCACACAGTGAAATATATCAGTAAAGAGTAACTTTAATTGCAATTAAAAAAAAAAAAATAGTGTAGGAGCCAGTCTATATTTTATTTATATAAAATGTTTTATAAAATGTTCAACTTATATAACTTGTTAATATAAATATTATATAAATTGTTAGTATAATTTTACACATACACACATCCGTGGCTTGTTTAAAAGTTTAGCGTCAGTAAAATGTAAATTAATACATTTATTTAGCAAGACCTTGGATTTAAAAAACTGACAAAGGCATTTATGTTACAATAGATTTTCCTTTCAAATAAATATTTTTGTACCAAACCATCACATAAAAATGATAAAAAGATACAAATTTATGAAGGATCATGTGACACGGAAGACTGAAAATTCAGATTTGTCATCACAGAAAAAAAATTTATATATTAAAATAAACTTATTTTAAACTTTATTTTTGATTAATTGTATTTTATACAAATATACACAGAAGGAAGAAATGAACTCCTCCCACAGAGGACAGTACATTAACAACAAACAAACCTCACCAATCTCTCCAAAAAACCAACATAGGTTTATAATCAACTCTTCTGTTATAAATCTTCCAGTCAGGGGAAAAATGGAGATATGACTGCAGGGACAATAATCACAGACTTTTACACTGCTCACAGCTTCTATGATGAGGCAGACAATCTATTCACAGGCATTTCTTCTGCAAATGAAAAACATAGAGCAAGTTTCTGTAACCCTGCTAAATCTACAGCTCCAAAGCAAAATAAATTATATTCATACATTATAAGCTTGCAGTCTGAATCAAATGTGATGGGTTAAAAGAGCCGGAGAAGACTGTGAAATAAAACAAAGACAATAAACAGACATATACGTCTTTCAATTGCATTGACTTTGCTGACAGAAAACGAAAAAACAAATATGCAGCATACAAGTCAGAAACTCATACAGACAGAAAGATTAATCGGTTTAGATAATTCTAAAGAACCTTATACTGATTTTTAATAAACATGACTAAATGAGTGAACCGCAAATCATTACATCCATTCGTGTTCGACTTATAATGAACTGAGTGTTTACCATATGTACTTACTTGGACTCTGTGACTTAAATTACCATAATTACTGGCTTTTTTTTCATAACAGCGTGTAGGTTATTCAGAAATCATTCCCAGAGTGCTTTTTAATAAATGGTACTAAAATTGTATTAAAAGAAAATGTGTTACAACAATATTATTTTCATTAGTATGCATGTAGTTAAAGGGGTCATATGATGCGATTTCAAGTTTTCCTTTCTCTTTGGAGTATTACAAGCTGATTGTGCATAGATAAGATCCCTGAAGTTGCAAAGACTAAAGTCTCAAAACCAAAGAGATATTCTTTATCAAAGTTAAGACTCTGCCACGCCCCCCTAAAACGGCTCGTTCTAACACGCCCCCACATATCTACCTCACTATGTGGAAATATTTGCATAATGCCGCCCAAATGTGCACGCAAAGAAAGAAGGCATGGTTTCAGTAACCGCAGTTAGTGTTGAAACAGCCATGTCAGGGAGACGCTGTGTGATTCAGTGCGAAAGCAAAAGCACTTTATTTGGATCACTTACAACAGAACAGCAATGCATTTTATGGAAGACCGTTTCGTGAACCTAGGAGAGGAGGTAATTCAGAATCAGCTACTGTTTTGTTATTAGTTTAAGTATTTGCTAGTATTTGAGAGAGAGAGTGGTGTGTGTGTGTGTGTGTGTGTGCGAGCGAGCAAGCGAGAGAGAAAGAGAGAGAGAGAGAGAGTGCGAGACACATCACAGTGGAGTCAGCTGTCTTAACCGTGGCTTGTGTACTGCAAACACATACCAGCTTCATCACTGTGTCTGTCACGCGACTCTGTTCCCCTTTCGGGCTCTGTCTTTACATTTATTTTGAAAGATGAAGCTCGCGATTATGGTAAGGGGCGTTACATTTCCGACGAGTGCTTGCGGTGTTCGGCCAATCACAATGCACTGGGTCAGCTGGCCAATCAGAGCAGACTGCGCTTGTCGGAAGGAGGGACTTTGTAGAAAACGAAGCGTTTGAGAGAGGCGGGGCATAGAGGACCTACAATAATGTACAGTATTTGAAAAATAATGTGTTTTTTGAACATTAAAGCATGTCAACATATTCTGTTACACCAAATACACAAAATAATGATCTTTAAAAAAGCATCATATGACCCCTTTAAGAGCAATTAAGGGGGCGGAGTGTGGGAGAACGCACAAAAGACTCATCATATAACACAAGCCACAAAGTAACAATCTGATGCCACACACACACAAAGAAGAATAAGGGTGGAGACAGAAGATTTTTAGGTCCTGTGAATCAATGAAGCACACCAGCCTAAAGAGAGAGCAGGAGGGGATTGTAAGGAAAAGAGGTCAGGTGGATACAGTGACACAGACAGTGATATGCTGGGGCGACGCGGGTTATCTCAGACTGGTTCACTCATTGTTATTTACGGCCTGGAAACGTTCGCCAGGTGACAGTAAGACTGAGTGGGGAAGACCGACAAAACATCTGCTAATCTATGCGGTCTTAACATTCATTTCAATGCTTTACTTAAGTGCATAGTTTATTATTATTGATAATATTTAGCCACTATTTTGCATCATAGTGCTTCATTAGCTTAAAAGATATATACGACGAACACTAGCGTCACTGTATTGGAGGATAAGAACTAGGGCGGTGCGATTAATCGAAATAGTCATAAAATCGCGATTTGAGCTTGCGCAATTTCTAAATCGCTTTATAGCACGATTTTCTGCGCCCCGACCTCCCCGCAGTATGCTATCTGAACCAATCAGAATGCAGCGCGCCTAAATGGAGCACGAGAACAGAACAGACCGGGCGGGCATACAAACGTA